ACACTGCTCCACCACTTCAGGACGCACCTCAATGATGCGTCGGTACCACCTCCACTGTGCGGTCAGGATGCCAAAGGCGTCCTCCACAACAAGGCGGGCCCGGGAGAGGCGGTAATTAAAGACGCGTTCCTCCGGGGGAAGGCCACCACGTCCGCGTCCAGGGAAAGGTCGCATCATGTTCCTCCTCAGCGGGAACGCCTCATCAGCCACAAATACATGAGGCTGAGGTCCTCTGTGCTCAGCATCAGGCAGGTGTTGGTCAGCAGGCAGATGGAGTGTGCCAGCCCGCAGACCCTGACCAAAAGCTGAATTGGACAGAATGCCGCCATCACTGGTCCTCCCATACCCCCCAACATCGATCACCCGGAACCGGTACCGAGCGTCCACAACAGCCAGGAGGACAATAGAGAAATCCCCCTGGTAGTTGAAGAACTGGGATCCTGAGTTGGGGGGCGCTGCAATCCGGACGTGCTTGCCGTCCACTGCTCCACAGCACAGAGGGAAGTTCCATCGGTCTTGGAACTCTGCAGCGATGGACAGCCAGTCTTCAGTGGAGGGCACAGCCATAAACTCCTCCACAAGACAGTGCCAGATAGCAGCCACCACCTGAGGGACAATGCCGCTGACAGTGGAGACACCTACCCGGAAACTGTATGCGATAGTCCTGTAGGAGTCCCCAGTGGCAAGATATCTATAAAAAAAGAAAAACACAGGGCAAAATTATTAACTCTACTAAAGGATATTGATTTTGTTGCCAAGTTATACTACTTACTTGTAATTTACTTTAAATAAAGTATTTAAAATGATTTTATCAACCATTACTAATGCAATATCATAATTAAGGCCCTTCTGCAAACCCAGGTAATGTGGTACTACACAAGAAACACTAGATAGCGCTATTTGGCTGTTTATTGCAATTTTCTTAATCACAGTCGGTTGCAACATTTAGTTATCTAACCTAATGGACTATTAATTATCTAACCCCCACCTGAAACGAGCTTATCGTGTCTAGTTTGGCATAACTAACTGATTAGTTTGGCATAAATCTAAAAGCTAAACAGTGGCACAATGGCTTTACATGTAAAGTACTTGGATTATAACATTTGGAATCTTATTTATTGAGAACCGCTTGATTTACTAACCGAAGACAGATGGACAGGCGCTCTGCAGGGGAGATAGAGCGCCTGTAGTTGGTCTCCCGGACGGTGATCCGAGCCCCAACGCGGGACAGCAGGTCCTCAAACTGGGTCCTGGACACACGGAAATACCGCTGGAATCGACCGTCATCCAGGCGCAGCTCCTGGAGCAGATGGTGGTACTCCCCATATTGGGAGCGTCTCTGGAGGATATCGTGGACCCAGAGACGGCGTCGCTGCCGCCGCTGTTCGGCTTTCCACATTAAATAAAGTATAGTGACTCGTTCCAGAAAATCAAAGCCCGCCATGCTGAGTTGAACAACAACCGGAACCGGCAACTGGCCATAAGCTCCTCCTATTGGATGACGCGGCGAGGCGAAATCTCGACGAAAATCCGCAGGCGAACAGAGCGAGTAATCGCCGCGATAGAAGCGAGTGTCATCAAATATTCAAGCGAAAAACGCCTGGCGTTTGATGCGATTTTTTCGCCTCCATCGCGATCGGTCTGAACACGGCATTATAGAGTGAGATTAAGAGAAGTGTTTATTTAGGTATACATTAAAGTTACCATAGTGGAAAGTTTGTTTTGCCATTATGATTATTGTTGCATTTATTTTTTATTATTATTACCATTATTACTGAGTTTTGGAATACATTTTTATAATACATAACATTTATTGTATTAGATGTTATTTACAGAAAGCCCTTATAGACCTCTCACCATCAGTGCATATAGGTTAAAAGTATTTAATTATCCTTTTGGGGGCCACTAGGTCCATGAGCCACAGGTTTGTCACCGGAGATTTAGCAGAAAACAATTATATATAACTTGTTAACTGGCCCCGTCAGAAAAAAGTACCTAAAACAGAATCAATTCTACTACGAAAGATTTACTAATTTTGCAAATGTAACAACCTTTATAGTTTACAATTATAGTTTGTACTAAACTACCAGACTACAAATATGAGATGAGTTCATTATACGACTGCTGTAGTTTCCAAATGCAATGCCAAGCGTGGGAACTGCAAGAGTGAAGTTATGAGCATATGGTGCTGAGGCCTGTGCCAAGCAGCTGTTGCTGTATTTGCCTGGGCAGCCGTGCACTTGCAAATGTGAGAGATGGCTCAGGTCAAGAGTTGTGCCACTTTCTCCCCCTGTGCCTCGAACCCACCCTTCTGCTCAGTATGTTCAAAGGTCACACGGGTAACCTTTGTTTTCATCGTTACATCTTACTTGAGCAGTATGACATAAATCTAAGCTGTTCTGCAATAATTCAAGTGGCTCAAAAGATCATGGCTGGAATAAGGAGCGTGTAATGAATCTGTTTATAAATCCTGGTGCTCATGAAGGGGAACAATTGCAGTGACTCAAAGCAATGTATTTGAATATTTAAGAAGCAGTAGGGGCAGGAGACGCTGTACAGCCGGGCAGGCTGGACCAGGTTTATAAATGAAATACTGCTGTCCAGTATTTTGCAAATGTATTCCAATGTAGTTTTTATACTGCACATGGCTAATAAAATGAATCTGAATCTGAATCCTGATGTCGAACCTGTGCTTAGTCACAAACCACGGTCCCTCAGACTGACATGTTACATGTGTGTGCAACTCTTGAAACATGTTCTTTTGGTGCAAGACACGTCACTCATCACGACTTGTTCTCATGTGAACGCCACCGCTGCAATTTCATAAAATACTACATCCTTTATTGACAGAGCAGCTCCTTTGGTCAAGTGTTTTGATCCAGAGGTAAATAGCAGTTTTCAGCTTTACATTCATAAAAGAAACGTGCTCTGCTCTTGCTCCCTGAATGTTTTAGAATTAATTTTAGGATTCATATAATTTGTTTTTTGTTGATTGTCCAACTAGAATGTCACCTTCTTACTTATGACCTCCTCCTGCCCCACCTCCCCCTCACAGCACACCACTCTGCAGATAAGCACCATGTTGTTGTCCATAGGACCAGGCTCAAGACTAGAGTAGTCTTTCTGTGAAAGGACCACAGCTGTGAAACTCTTTACCTTTGCTCATACAGTATAACTGCACATACAGTATAACTTCACATACAGTATAAAACAGACAGTATAACTGCACATACAGTATAACTGCACCTACAGTATAAAACAGACAGTATAACTGCACATACAGTACAACTGCACCTACAGTATAAAACAGACAGTATAACTGCACATACAGTACAACTGCACATACAGTATAAAACAGACAGTATAACTGCACATACAGTATAAAACAGACAGTATAACTGCACATACAGTACAACTGCACATACAGTATAAAACAGATATGCACATACAAACTACACATACCAACTAGACAATCACTCAAGCACTTTAAACCCCTTTTAAGCCACATCTTTTGTCAGCACTTTGGTAAGCCTTTGCTGTTTTAAATGTGCTTTACAAATAAAGATTGATTGACTGAGGACTACCAAAGCTGGGGGACTTAACTCGTAGTCTATGTTTGGTTTGGTGGGTAAACTGAAGAATCCGATGAAAGGAGCCAGGCACAGAACTAAACAAATGTAAGGGAAGGGCAAGTGTGAAAGAATGATTATAATGTATATATATGTATATATACAGCCAGTGTTATTTCCAGTTTCAACTCAACATGTGCTCCATTACTACAGAATACACTCAAACTCTTGGATTTAGCGTTTAGCTAGGTCGATGAAGGAATATGGATTCAAACTGAACCGACACAGGAGATTGTTTATTCCTTCTTCGTGCCGAATGTAAATTTGTGTGTATGTAATAATGAACACACTTCCTAGATGTCACTAGGAAGCTCGGGGACAGGGGTGCCGCCAGAAATTCTGGGCCCTATGGAAACAAAAATTTCTGGGCCCCCTACATTTTTTACAGATAATATGTAACCCAATAAACATGCCCTGTATACTTTAAAAAAGATACTGTCTGATGAGTAAAAGCCGACAAAAACAAGAAAAAGCTATGGAAATATATACTTGTTTACATAAAAGGAGAATATTTATTATCTCAATTGCAATTGCAAACACAACAGAACATAATGTACACATATTGACATATACTTTACGTGAACAAGCTTTAACTGGGTCCAACTGCTCAATCAGGAAACATCAGCTACAACTAACCCATAATTAAATCAGTCCAAGACTAAAACTAGGCCAAAAGGGCTCAAAATCAAGACACACCAGGAGTAATGCCAGGCCTAAACCAGTCCAGGACTAAACAAGTACTGAACCAGACATAAACTGTTTGTTATCCAGGTATAACAAGTTATGTTCAACATCACTTTATAATGGCCCAGCGGCGTGCCTTTCTGCTGGAAAAATCATGTATCAAATCATCAAAGTTCAGCTTTCTTGCCAGTTTGCTTTCAATGGACAGTATGGCAAGGTGACAAAGTCTGTCCTGCAACATAGCAGACCTAAGATAATTTTTAATCAGTTTGAGCTTACTGAATGCTCTCTCGCCACCAGCAACGGTCACAGGCAATGTGAAAAATATTCGCTAAACTATGCAGACCTGCCCAAAAATACTCTGCAGCTGCATCTTGTAAATGCTGTTGAGCAGATCAATTGGTGACAGACACCCTGGGAAAGTGGCCCTATATACAGAGTTGAGGTGTCTGACTTCATCTTCAAATTCACAAGTCAGATCAGTGTTGTATTTTGAAATCAATGGCTGGCATACAGAATGGATTTGATCATCACGTAACTGGCCCATTTTTACAACTACAGAAAACTGATCCAAGATCTCAGCTGTTGTGGCAAACCTGATACTTAAGTCACTGATTATGTGGTCCATCATGGGAAGAAACACTGTGTTTCTGAATATGGTGTCTGCACTGTGTTCCCTTGCTCCCTCTACCTCTGTCTCATCGTGAAACCGTTTTCTTTTCCTCTGGCGGCTGAATCCTGACCTGAACAGAGGGTTAATGTTCATCTGTTGTGCAACAAGTGATGCTTCAGAAAAGAAACTCTCCCATTCATCCCTCAGATGTTGCATCTCCTCCTGCAAAGCTCTGATATTTTCTGCCTCTGTCTCAAGAGTTAATTTCCCTGACTGGAGAATAATATTCCTTTTGTCAATGGCTTGCAGAACTTTGACCCAAACAGTCAACAGAAAAACAGTATCAAAAGTTTCAAAATACTTTTTTAGGCCGCTGGCTTCAGACCGAGCCTCTGGTGTCAGACTGCAGGTTGAGAGGATGGCATCAAGAGCTTCTAGGACACTGGGCAGGTGCTTGGCTATAGGTTGAACAGCCTTAACCCTTGAACTCCACCGAGTGTCTGACAGACGATGTAAAGTGCAACCCGTTTTTGCCTTAAAGATGGCCCATCGCTCTGGGCTGGCACTAACAAGGGCATAAAGACGATTGACAAAGCCAAAAAAGTTAGTAACCTCTGGACTTGATTGAGCTGCATGCACACCAACAAGGTTCAGAGTATGAGACGCACAAGGGGAAAAAGTAGCCAGCTTATTCTTTTTTAATAATTGGGCTTGAACCCCCTTGATTTTTCCAGACATGTTTGCCCCATTATCATAGCCTTGGCCCCTGCAGTCATTCAGATCTATGCCGTGACTATTAAGCACATTTACAACCATGTCTGCTATCTCACTTCCTGTTTTTTTGTGAAAATCTTTAAACTCCAAAAACCTTTCAACAACCTCCCATTTCTTGTTTTCTTGATCAAAACCTACATATCGTAAGAGCAATACATTTTGCTCTGTATGTGAAATATCCGGAGTAGCATCGCAAATGACTGAATAATAGACTGATTCCTCCCTTTCCTTAAGAATACTACTTAACACTCATTTTCCACATAACTCAATAAATTCGTTCTGAATATCTGAGCTTAAATAGTGTGTCAGTCTTGTTCCTATTTTTTTGTCTCTGACTTTTTGTAGATGTTCGTTGAGTAGTGGGTCATATTGGGACAGGAGCTCAAGGGTGCCCAAGAAGTTGCCATTATGAATGTCCCCCAAGTCTTTTGTTTTACCCCTAAAGGGTAAATTTCGAGAGGCCAAGAACAAGGTTACATCTAGTATCCTCGTCTATTTCTGTTTGTATGAGCTTCTTCAGCTTGCTGTCTATTCCCCCAGGGACAGCTGCCATTTCAATTTGGAGAGACGAGAAACGAAAATGGTTTTGAGTATTTATTGAGGTGGTTTGGCGCACTAGGCCCCGGTGCGGCCTTCAGATCGGAGAGGCTCCTGCGATGGAGCGCGTACAATCCCCCGGGACCTAGGCACTGGTGGCGGCATTTTGGCAGATTGGAGGCAGATTGGAGGCAGATTGGAGGCAGATTGGAGGCAGGGTGAAGAGGAGGAGGAGGGGAGGCGGTGGTTGCGAGGCTTCGAGAAGGCCGAGAGTGGGAGTTGCTCCGCTTTTAAGCGCCTGCCTGTCCGGCACGGATGATTGGAAGGGGGCGTTTGCTGAGCGATAGGCTGGGGAAGCGAACCGGCCTGGAGGGGGTAGCTTTTGGCTGACGTCTACCAAATTGAATTTTCGCGAGCTACATCTCAATTTGGAGAGACGAGAAACGAAAATGGTTTTGAGTATTTATTGAGGTGGTTTGGCGCCCTAGGCCCCGGTGCGGCCTTCAGATCGGAGAGGCTCCTGCGATGGAGCGCGTACAATCCCCAAAAAGGCTGTGTGTGTTGATGGAGTTTTGCAGCCTGGTTTGCAGGGGACAGACGTCGTGGCTGCTCTATGCTGTGACCGCTATCGCTATGCTGTGACCGCTATCGCTATGCTGTGACCGCTATCGCTATGCTGTGACCGCTATCGCTATGCTGTGACCGCTATCGCTATGCTGTGACCGCTATCGCTATGCTGTGACCGCTATCTCTATGCTGTGAACCGTTTATGCGCTAACCATTTTTTGCTATGCTGTCACCGCTAACACTAACGCTATGACCGCTACCACTGACGCTAAGACCGCTATCACTGACGCTATGACCGCTATCACTGACGCTATGACCGCTATCACTGACGCTATGACCGCTATCACTGACGCTATGACCGCTATCACTGACGCTATGACCGCTATCACTATGTGCTGTGACCGTTATATGCGGTTATCTTTGAGCGCCGGGACGTGAGCGCTCGCATCACGATCAACCGGACGCTGCGGCAGGGTTATCTTTGCGCGCTGGGAACGTGAGCGCTCGCATTACGTTCCGTCAGACGCTGCGGCAGCGGAGAGTGTTTGAGAGAAGTGCGTGCCGCCACCAGAATCTTATTGGTTCACTTACTTTGTTTGAGATGAAGGTTGAAAGGGTCAGGGGACATAATGTTGGGTGAAAGAGAGCGACCTTTGTGTAAGCTTCCACTACGTCGAGATTATCACACATGACAGAGATCCTCTTTCTCCGCCACGTGTGATTCCGCAGCGCGCAGGCCACGACCACTGGGAATATCTCGTGTAGGGCAGAGGAGATGCTCCGGTGGAAAGTAGCGGCCACGGCCCGGCAACCCGATGGTCCTGGAAAAAAAAACCCCAAAACCCACGGAAGGGGCACGTCCGTGTAGAAGCGGAGACCTGGAGGGGCAGAGACATGTCGGAGAGGGCCATTGATGTTGCAGGCGCCCTTACGCTTAGAATCTTGGGTTGGAGAGTAGGTAATCAGGACAGTAGGAAGGTCGGGAAAAGCCGTGTCTCGGACCGCACGAAGGTTGAGTGTGCAGTAGTAAAACGCTTATGCAGAGAAGCCATGGAAGGCGAGCAGGAAGATGCTGCGAGGAGGGCAGACATGTACCTGGAAGATGAGCCGGAGTTCAGTGCCGCTCAGAGCCACTGCAGGATGGGCAGCACGATGGGGAGCCTGCGATCAGAAGAGTGAAGAACACAGGTATGGATGCCTTTGATTAGGAGTCCGATTGACGGCTCAGCGCAGCTACTCGGCCAGCTGCATCTGATAGAATCGGAAGATTAAGTAGAGAGATGAAGCATGACCACCGAAGCGACCCTGGGAGCACAGGTGCGAGTCCAGTGCAGCGCGGCATACTCTGCCGGGCTGCCTCCATTAGAAGCAGGATAAGCTTCTGAGAGAGTGGGTTGCAGCAGTAGCAGTAGCAGTAGCAGCAGCGGCAGCGGCAGTAACCTCAGATAATAACGACAACGACCTGTATCAGCCGCGGCAGCAGCAGCTGCAGCATCCGTAGATAATAACGGCAAAAACCCTGTATCAAAGCCACGGCAGTAGAATATGTTGTAGCTGTTTAGTGTTTCAGTAAGAGAAGCGAAGTGAAGAGAGATGACGAAGTACATGAAGCAGCAGCAGCACGGCAGTAGTAGCAGCAGCGGTAGCAGTATGAAGCAGCAGAAGCAGCATCAGCGGGAGCAGCAGCACCACAAAGCGATTCATACGAACAGACAGACGTGTCGCGCCAGTGTGCGCCGCTTGTCTCCATGAGCCAGGTTACATACGTGTCTGAAAGAGCCGAGCCACAGAGACAGGTGCAGCCTGGGAGCCTGCGGAACGGCAGCGGCACATGTAGTAGTAGGAGCAGCAGGAGCAGGCAGCAGGGACAGACGGCAGCAGGAGCGGCAGCAGGAACAGGCAGCAGCAGGAGCGGCAGCAGGAACGGCGGCGGCGGGATCGGCATCAGTAGGAACGGCAGCGGGGACCGGCAGCAGCGGCGGTCAGAGAACCATGCCCACGGTTGTTTAACAGCCTGAGGAAATAAATCAACCCGAATCCGAAACATTCCCATGCGAATAACAGACGTCCCCTGGAGCCATCTTGCTGCTTTGGTTATGGCAGATGCGCATGAACGATCACTGATCCATGCGTTCATAGCTCCAACACTACTTCACACCCATTGCAGATTCACGTTCGGCCCTTTTTCTTCCTGCTGCACTTTCAAAATGCAACACTGCAGTTAGTTACCCAATTTAATACTAGTGACCTAGCTATTTAAATGCATGGTTTTACTGCAAGTGGCAGAACATGATCTGAATTAATGCACATAGCTCCTCGTATATCCCTCAGACGATAGAGATTGATGCCATTTAATATGCATTGCCCCTCGGTTAGCTCAGACACGTGTGAAAACGGAGCCTGTAGACCAAGCACGGGGCGAAAAAACTGGCGCCTGCAGTCAAGTGCGCAGGGCAAAAACCAATCGCCTGCAGCCCAGACTCCGGGATTAATCTGTCCGCGGTCAGCACACTCACTGTACTCACATGCCAGGAGACTTGGGAAAAGCAACGGGACAACGCGGCACCGCCAATCGAGGCAGGGACACGCACGGCACCGCCAGACCTTCTGCGTGCGGCAGCAGACCACGAGGAACGAGCCGCACAGAAACCCGCGGAGGGCCCCGCGGAGCAGCCCACAGAAAGAGCCCGCAGAGGAGGAGAGCAGTGGGGATATGCGAACCACAGCAGTGCAGGGACGCGGAGGAGGAGCAGGCCAGTGCAGGGACGCGAAGGAGGAGCAGACCACGAGCAGCCAGACGGAGGACGCCAGGGACGCGCCGAGTAGCGTGAGTAGACGAAAACGATTCCTCCAGACGATTCTTTGCAAGGCTTCAGGAGCATGCAAGGCTTCGAGAAGGCCGAGAGTGGGAGTTGCTCCGCTTTTAAGCGGCTGCCTGTCCGGCACGGATGATTGGAAGGGGGCGTTTGCTGAGCGATAGGCTGGGGAAGCGAACCGGCCTGGAGGGGGTAGCTTTTGGCTGACGTCTTCTAAATTGAATTTTCGCGAGCTACATTACAGACTGTTGTAAGGTTTTCCATTTTAAGTAGCACTCCCTGTGTGCTTTGCTACTTTCGTGGTTAGGGAATTTATCATACATTCGACGCCATGTTATGTCTTTGATTTTATAACCATGTTGACTGCTTAGTGCGCTCATACAAGGTTTCTTTAGCTCATGACCAAATAATACACAAGGAATACAAAATAGTGCATTTGTGCTTTGGCTGTAAATGACCCAGTTTCTCTTAATCTTTTCCCTGCAATTTCCTGACTTTGTGTACTTGAGGTATTCGGGGAAGGCTTTACCTTTTGAATCATGTGGCATTTCTTGTTCTTTATCTTTAGAAGAGGCTATTTTTTGCACAATCTTTTCTCTGTCTGCATTGCTAATTTTTGCTGGCCACAAACCAGGATCATTTGACACAACAGTCTCTTCTTCATCTTCCTCTGAGTCTGCTCTCATGGCTTCCTCTGTTCTCTCATCTTCCTCTGAGTCTGCTCTCATGGCTTCCTCTGTTCTCTCATCTTCCTCTGAGTCTGCTCTCATGGCTTCCTCTGTTCTCTCATCTTCCTCTGAGTCTGCTCTCATGGCTTCCTCTGTTCTCTCATCTTCCTCTGAGTCTGCTCTCATGGCTTCCTCTGTTCTCTCATCTCTCTCTGAGTCTGCTCTCATGGCTTCCTCTGTTCTCTCATCTTCCTCTGAGTCTGCTCTCATGGCTTCCTCTGTTCTCTCATCTTCCTCTGAGTCTGCTCTCATGGCTTCCTCTGTTCTCTCATCTTCCTCAGAGTCTGCTCTCATGGCTTCCTCTGTTCTCTCATCTTCCTCTGAGTCTGCTCTCATGGCTTCCTCTGTTCTCTCATCTTCCTCTGAGTCTGCTCTCATGGCTTCCTCTGTTCTCTCATCTTCCTCAGAGTCTGCTCTCATGGCTTCCTCTGTTCTCTCATCTTCCTCTGAGTCTGCTCTCATGGCTTCCTCTGTTCTCTCATCTTCCTCTGAGTCTGCTCTCATGGCTTCCTCTGTTCTCTCATCTTCCTCTGAGTCTGCTCTCATGGCTTCCTCTGTTCTCTCATCTTCCTCTGAGTCTGCTCTCATGGCTTCCTCTGTTCTCTCATCTTCCTCTGAGTCTGCTCTCATGGCTTCCTCTGTTCTCTCATCTTCCTCAGAGTCTGCTCTCATGGCTTCCTCTGTTCTCTCATCTTCCTCAGAGTCTGCTCTCATGGCTTCCTCTGTTCTCTCATCTTCCTCTGAGTCTGCTCTCATGGCTTCCTCTGTTCTCTCATCTTCCTCTGAGTCTGCTCTCATGGCTTCCTCTGTTCTCTCATCTTCCCCTCTTCTGTTATCTTCCTTCACACTTAGGGCTCCCTCTGTGCTCTCATATTCCACTATTCTCACCGCTTCCTCAACTTCCACACTCTTTCCTGGCAAAACTCTCTGTCTCTCTCTTGTTTCTGTGGGGTAAGGATAGCAAAATCATTTTTTTTCCCCAGTCAACAAGTTACAGCTTAGAATTCATATTTTCTTAACTGCATTGTTGAATAATATGAAATAGATAACTATACAACACAAGAAAAAAATTAGACAATCCAAAACTGTATTTTATAGTTTTCTTAATATAAAATATTAAAATATCTATTCTGTAAACTAATTATAGCCAATGGTTACCACAGACACATTTTTATTCCACTTTATATTATTTTTTCAAGGGGCATTTTATTCATATTAAGAACGTCAAGTTTGACAGCATCGATCGTAGCAGCAGCACTGTCACTTCACAGAACACACGGCAAACTGATTTTGTAGTTTTTGAAGCGTGTAGATTACTTTTTGTTTAGTAAAGTTATCATCATGTGGAGAACACAGTAGATAAGACGTGCTTAGAGCTTTCAATCTTCGTGAAGTTTTGCGCTCAGGCTCACCTTGTTTGGCTGAGACGGGGACGGGGGCCGCGGGGGAAGGAAGACGTGGGTGTGCAGCGGCCGCTGAATCTGTGTCTACGAGACATGATAACCCGGAGACAGCAGAGATGTTATTATTGTTGGATGTAAATCATAATTCAGTAATTATTTTACTGAGCTAGCTAGATAAAAGCAGGTCATGTAGCAACAAAAATAAGTAAGTGAAAGTTTTGGAATACAGGAATAGGGCAAGCTACCTTTCTTTTTGAAAAACTGTGTGACATACTGTCGACTTCGGCGTTCTCGGTCTTCTCTTTCCTTCTTTTCTTTCCGTTTTTGATGCCCTGACTTTTGATGTGACATGCCTGCATGTGTCACTATCTGCACTGCATCATAACAAATGCAATAAGCAAGAGACGTTACGCTAGCGAGTGTAGCTCGGACAGCGCAGGTGGAATGAACCATTGTGAGGGGGGTGTGACTTAAACAGTAAGTACATTATTTGTTTGTTAAATATTATTAAATCTATGGTCAAAACGGACAAAATACACATTAAGTGTATGAGGGGCCCTAGCACATTTAACGTATGTATAAAAAAGAGAAAAGAAATAAGAAAAGAAAAAGAGGGTCTGCTCTTCTGGGCCCTTCATCAGCCTGGGCCCTTAGAATCGTCCTAACCTTCCACCCCTTTATGGCGCCCATGGTTTTCTTAATATAAAATATTAAAATATCTATTCTGTAAACTAATTATAGCCAATGGTTACCACAGACACATTTTTATTCCACTTTATATTATTTTTTCAAGGGGCATTTTATTCATATTAAGAACGTCAAGTTTGACAGCATCGATCGTAGCAGCAGCACTGTCACTTCACAGAACACACGGCAAACTGATTTTGTAGTTTTTGAAGCGTGTAGATTACTTTTTGTTTAGTAAAGTTATCATCATGTGGAGAACACAGTAGATAAGACGTGCTTAGAGCTTTCAACAATCTTCGTGAAGTTTTGCGCTCAGGCTCACCTTGTTTGGCTGAGACGGGGACGGGGGCCGCGGGGGAAGGAAGACGTGGGTGTGCAGCGGCCGCTGAATCTGTGTCTACGAGACATGATAACCCGGAGACAGCAGAGATGTTATTATTGTTGGATGTAAATCATAATTCAGTAATTATTTTACTGAGCTAGCTAGATAAAAGCAGGTCATGTAGCAACAAAAATAAGTAAGTGAAAGTTTTGGAATACAGGAATAGGGCAAGCTACCTTTCTTTTTGAAAAACTGTGTGACATACTGTCGACTTCGGCGTTCTCGGTCTTCTCTTTCCTTCTTTTCTTTCCGTTTTTGATGCCCTGACTTTTGATGTGACATGCCTGCATGTGTCACTATCTGCACTGCATCATAACAAATGCAATAAGCAAGAGACGTTACGCTAGCGAGTGTAGCTCGGACAGCGCAGGTGGAATGAACCATTGTGAGGGGGGTGTGACTTAAACAGTAAGTACATTATTTGTTTGTTAAATATTAAATCTATGGTCAAAACGGACAAAATACACATTAAGTGTATGAGGGGCCCTAGCACATTTAACGTATGTATAAAAAAGAGAAAAGAAATAAGAAAAGAAAAAGAGGGTCTGCTCTTCTGGGCCCTTCATCAGCCTGGGCCCTTAGAATCGTCCTAACCTTCCACCCCTTTATGGCGCCCATGCTCGGGGAAGTATGGTAACTGCAAATCTTGGGCTATTCATCTTCATTTTCCCGAGGGCCGGATTGTTTCAAAGGGCTGTGTTCTCTGGGCCAGATAAAGGCACATTACGATCACATTTAAAACACTTAATATTCCCTCTATGCTTTGAATAACCTCACACACTGTACATGCGTATACATCCACAACAGTTTTTAATGCACCGAAATTATTAACTTTGGTTTTCACTTTCATACATACAAGATGAATATGGTTCTTTTCTGTACTTTACCGGACATCAATTTGACTTGTATAAAGTCAGTACTTTGTTATCCATACCCTGGATAAGTAAAATCCAAATTTATTTATTGTCTTTTTTTTTTTTTGAAAGACGCGCGGAAACGGCTGCAAGTATTGAGTAGCTCTGAAACAGTTGTTGTTTGGTGCTTTACAATTTCTATTTGTATTGCTTTTTTCTACCTGAGATGTTGCTGCAGTACAGTGTGCATAGTTTTGCACTGGTCCAGACCGGAGCGAAGAGGATTCATGGTTTTACACTGGTCCAGACCGGAGCAGAGAGGATTCATGGTCTGAATCTGGAGGAATGCTAACTTTTTGAAAAATGCTAATGAAGCATTTCTCCTTTTACTTTTGACTAGAGCAGAGAAAACGGTCCAAACCAAGCGGCGACACATCTCTGCTGCTGTGACCTGTCCTGCTCCACCCAGAGACTTCTCCACCTCTGCTGCTGTGACCCGTCCTTCTCCACCCAGAGGCTTCTCCACCTAAATAAATGTAGAAAATTCATTCTGTCTTCTTATGTTTATGGCTTCTCCACCTCTGCTGCTGTGACCCGTCCTTCTCCACCCAGAGGCTACTCCACCTCTGCTGCTGTGACCTGTCCTGCTCCACCCAGAGGCTACTCCACCTCTGCTGCTGTGACCTGTCCTGCTCCACCCAGAGACTTCTCCACCTCTGCTGCTGTGACCCGTCCTTCTCCACCCAGAGGCTTCTCCACCTCTGCTGCTGTGACCCGTCCTTCTCCACCCAGAGGCTTCTCCACCTCTGCTGCTGTGACCCGTCCTTCTCCACCCAGAGACTTCTCCACCTCTGCTGCTGTGACCTGTCCTGCTCCACCCAGAGGCTTCTCCACCTCTGCTGCTGTGACCCGTCCTTCTCCACCCAGAGACTTCTCCACCTCTGCTGCTGTGACCCGTCCTTCTCCACCTAGAGACGTCTCCACCTCTGCTGCTGTGACCTGAAGGCCTGTTGCTGATTTAATACTATTGTTATCTTTTTCAATTTTATTTTTTGTTTTTGCTGCTACTGGACACCTGAATTTCTTCTACGGGGATCAGTAAAGTATCTATCTAAAGAATCTGACGGATGGTATTTCAATGACTTTCCTCAATTTCCCACGGAGCAACTTCAAGGTATTTGCTAAAGAATTACATCCTTGACGTAATATACTGAAACTATTTTACAAAGGATTCTCTGCTCAACTGATAATGAAATTGCACTGTTTTGTGTGCAGCAAAAGCGTACGCTCGAGACTGAGAAAACAAAAATACATCTGTCACCTCTGCCTTCCAGTGAACGTCGCATTTGTCTCGCCTTTTATTTAACAAGACTTCTGCACTGTTGTCCCCAAAACACTTTAATTAAAGGTGCAAAGACTTGTGATATATCCCTGCAACCTTTTCTGTCTTCCAATTCTTCAACCTGGATTTCAACTCCCTGTTCACGCAGCACCTCCTCATTACTCACTCGCCTCTGCCTCCTGTCGTGGAACCAGGGCGGCTGTTTATGTGTTTACTTTCATAGTATATATTGGCTGGTTCTTCTCACTAAACACAAGGTAGGCTTCTAATGGAAAAGAGGTCGTGTTTGATTTTTTTTCACTTCTTCCAAACCGTCTGGTACCTCACAATTATATTGATCCATGGACAAACTCAATCCCTTTTGTAGTAGTAGAGTTCAGACATTGTACCCTTCTCTCTACACGATGATGACCGAAATTATCTGTTTTTTATTTCATTGAATGCTTTTGGATCCAGATTGAGAGCACTTGAGACATCCTCATTGAAACTGTTTTTATAATCTGTACTTCTATGTAACTGTTTTTTATAATCTGTAATTGTATGTAACTGTTTTTATAATCTGTAATTGTATGTAACTGTTTTTATAATCTGTGCTTCTATGTAACTTTTTTTATAATCTGTACTGTACTTCTATGTAACTGTTTTTATAATCTGTAAATTGTATATAACTGTTTTTTATAATCTGTAAATTGTATATAACTGTTTTTATAATCTCTACTTCTATGTAACTGTTTTTATAATCTGTAATTCTATGTAACTGCATGTGACTTCCTCCCTTGGAAAAGAGGCTTAATCTCAATGGGACTTTCCTGGTTAAATAAAGGTTAAATAAGAAGATTACGGGAGACGCCGAACACATTGATGCATCCAAGCCCCCAACCAACACCATCCCTATGTACTGTATGTCTCTGTTGTTGTTTATGTTTGTTTGTTTTTGTGTATCTTTGTTTGTAGCACAGTTGATCTGAGCACTCCTGCTGTACCCGAAACTAATTCTACCAACTTGTTGTGTGGTCATTAACACGTGATTTTGATTCTGATCCATTCACTCGTTCATACCTATTGTGCATGTTTTTAGTGGTAGGGTAAACCGGAGCATCTGGAGGAAACCTGCGAACATGAAAACTCACTCGGAAAGGCCCTGCCCCGACCGGGAAGAAGCGAGAGTGCTACCTACTTTGTGTGGCCTTTGTGGCTACAACAGACTTCTCGGTACGCCACAGACAATCTAGTAAAGGCAAGGCACATTTATTTGTACAGCTCAGTTCATACACAAGGCAACTCAAAGTGCCTGACAAAAGAAGATACAAGGCATTGAAATCACAAATAATCGCAGTACATAGAAAAAGAGTGAATGCACAGTAAAGGGAACCTGTTGCTGTTAGTTCTTGTCTCTCTTTGGAGGCAGCCAGGATATTCATGCACGCTCTTATTTTTTCCCACTTGTCTTACTGCATCACCTGTTGGGGACAGGCTGGAGAAACCGCAATTAGACCGTTAGAGTCCGTGTACAAGCAGGCCCTAAAGATTTTTGATAAAAAGCCATTTAACCATCATCATTGTAGCATCTTGACAAAATACAATTTCTTGAGTTTTGAAAAATTTAGAACTTTCTCATATCTATGTTTGGTCTTTAAGATCCTGAAGGGCTTGGCTCCTGGCTGTTTACAAACCTTTGTGCGACAGCGCTCTGGGAGTTCTTTAAGATCTACTCGAGCAGCTTCTCTACATGATTGCATTGTACCTTTCCGTCATTCCACCTTTGGTCAATCAGCGTTTGCAGTGAAGGCTGCTAAACTGTGGAACCAACTACCTGACAATATAAAGACATGTACAACCATCAAGGGCTTTAAAACTGAACTCAAAAAGCATCTAAAAAGTAGCCAGCATTGTACACACTAGCCATGCCAGCCCTCTTTGGTTTTTACACTCCCTCTGGTACTGACTTATTTGTCTGTATTTGTGTTGTTGATGTGTCTTGTCTGGGTTTTATGAATCTGTAATGTTGTATGTGGTTTGTCTTTCCTGGTCGACCCCTTGTCTTGTGAATCTTGTCTTTTTTCTGTTATGGGTCGTCCGTTCCCTGCCAGGGACTGCAGATGTAAATTAGCCTCAGGCTAACTCTGGTACAATGCATCAAATGGCAACATTTATGTTATAATTGTACATGGTCCCTTTTAAATAAATAAACTAAACTAGTATTTGTTTGGTTTCTCTGGTTGTTGTCTTGTCTGCAATCCTGTGTCGACCTGAGCCTTTCTGTGTGGAGTTTGCAGGTTTCTCCCCAAGGATTTCCTCCAAGCGCTCTTGTTAGCATACATCATAGATAAAATGCTACAGCTCCAGGCCGGCATATGAATGAATACTGCACAGTTTATTCATATGCCATATGGGTGAGGTGGGATGGATTGTGTCAGTAAAGAAAAAGTGCTCACTGAAACAGATTCACCCCAGGTTTCCACATCCCCCGCTCTTTTGGCGCAGATGTGCACCACCGTTAGTGTGCACGTCTAAAGCCAAGTGTATACTTGCACGGCGCGGCTTAAGTTAGCGTTTGCGGTGGACCTACGCAAGCACATTTGTGTTTATACTCCTTGCGGAGTTTTGAGGAGAATGTTGTAATCCCACAACCAACCACATGATGGCGATCTCACAGGAGTTGCCTGAGCTTCCAAAGCGGTCTCATTTACGATGCTTCTTTTTCCTCTTCAGAACAAAAACATGAACAAACCGAGCTGTTTGAGCTCATTACATGTGTTTCTACTGTAGGTTTATGTGATAGTTCCATGGACTCATTATTTCTTAACTCATTTAACTGTGATGTTGTGAATAAAGACACAGTTCTTGTTGGAAACATAGTTATTTTTAAATTGTATTCAGCACAAACAGCAAAACAATAAGTGGTAAATATCTGAGGTAAACATGAACAATTTATAAGTGCAGGAGGAATGGAACAGACGCGATAAGCTACGATTCAAACAAAGACAGGAACAGAGCAAAACAAACGACTGCACAGTTTATAAGTTATATATATGTTAGATAGTCCACAGTCTCCTGTATATCAGGCTCTGAGCCCAAACTGCTTTTCCTTCGT